CAATACTTGCCTGATATGACAAACCATTTTTCCCTTCTCAATAACATCTAAATTATTATTTCTAATGAGAATAATATCTTTAATTCATCAGATCACAAAGAAATGATGATTCAAAGTTATTAAATCTAATTAATAATAATAACAAGAGTTATAATATTATCCCCATATGACAATGTCACCCTTATTTCAAGTACACATCTCCTTGATATGTCACCCTTATTCCTCCAATAAAACAAAGCTACTTATCAGAACAGACATAAGCCACCACGTCTGAAAGTACTTATTCCTAGTTCCAAGCAAGAACATACAAAAATCACCACGTCTGGGGGAACTACCATTGAAAACTCACTTCTATACCAAAACAGACTTACGTCACCACGCTTGGTAGTAAGGTTTAAAAAAATATAGTTTCATACAAAAACAGACTTACGTCACCACGCTTGGTAGGAACATATCATTTATTTAAAAAGATATAAAAATACCCATTTTTATAATCTACAATTAATCCCAATAATAGACATTTTAAATCATATAAAAAGTCTAAACATAAAACTTATGAAAATTCCAATTAAAAAGATATTCGGATAAAATATCGATTAAAGCTTATCCGGTTTAAACCCTTATCCGGTCAAGCTTTGTCCGGATAAACACTTAGACAATATAATCAAAGTTCCATTTCAAAGGATAAGAATACGAAGCATACTAATAAAATCAGTAGTAAATTTTTATGCAAAAAAATTTAGAAACCACTCACCTTGCAAAGCTTTTGAAACCAAAATGCTTGCAAACCAACTTAAAATCTTCGCTTTTGATAAAACCGGACAACACTCTCAAAATCCTCTCAACTCTTCTCAAAAAAAGGTAGCAAAAACAAATGAATGGGGTAAACCCCCCCCCCCCCCCTCTTATATACCTACCAAAATGGGGAAGTCCCCTCTCTTGCCACCTCAACACCAAACACACATATGCATACACGTATGCATAACTCTTACACACATATACATATGCATGTAATGTCTACCATATATATATATATATATATATTATATACATTTCATCAAATATTTACATACATATATATTTCTACATGCACACATAATATCATGCATAAAATCACGTCCTACACATACTAGCACGTATCAATTTATTATGCTATCACGAAATCATTTAGTCAAATATTCACGTATTAAATACCTTAGGTAATAATCAGGATCTGGTTATTACAACTGAGATAAAAAATAAAATGAAATATTAAAATGACGATGTATTTAGCTGCATTGCGCGAGTACGCTTCTAGTTATATTATAAAGCATTAGGCAAAAACTGTTAAAAACCAATTTTTATGCATGAAATACTGTTTATTGATGCATATTACTTAAAATTCAAGATTACAAGTAAATTATGCATAAATACAACTTACTAAAGCTCTTTGTTTGAATTCGTGTAACTAACTGCAGATAAACATAATCAAATACATGATACATATCTCATTTTAAATATAAAAAATGTAAAATATAATTAAGATAATCATTTATAACTAACAGAATAAACGATCTTAAGACATTTCTTTTCTATTTTTTAAACAACTTGGATATTTTTAGGTTAGCTTATCCATTAAATTAAAAGAAATTAGGAACAAAACATCGCTATCTTTATAGGAAAATTACAAATATGTCCCTTGAAAATATTATAACAAATTATACCCATAATCTATTGGTTGGTACAGAAAAACTATTAAAGGGGTTTTCTAAACCCACTCCCTCTTATTTCTTTTCCCCTACATTTTCTACACCCCCACCTATATAATACAATAAAATAATTAAAATTTATTTATTATATTTTTCAATTTTAACCCTTTAATATTTTTAGTTTTCACCTTTCAACTTTTTATATACTTTTCTATTATACCCTCTAGGTTTTTTTTATCTATACTATAATTACATATATTAATTAACTATATAT